ACATAACGGTAATTTAGGATATTCATTTGGATTGACGTTACTTTCCTATGGTATTAAAATTGAGAAAATAAAGTAAGGTAACTGTACTTTTTCAAACTTAAAGGAAACTTCTTAAGATTGATAATCTTAGGGAGGAATGTGTTTTTTTGCCCTAGTAATTTTTCCTTTCGTCGCATCATTATATGTTGAGACCATCACTTTGGATTTTGAACGGAGAACTAAAGGGCCGTTTGGTAATGTTCTGTTTTCCTATTTCTGTTCTTTGCTATGAACAAAACACTTGTTTAATTATACATAAACATGTTTGATTCATAATATTTTTTTTGAAACAAAAGAATACAAATATATTTGATTAGACATTATCATTGTTGTGTGAGAGAAAATGATTAATGAGGCTTAAATTTAGTATAATATTAAAGTTAGTGCATATTTATGGATTAGGCTTGACCAATTAATTTCAACTCAAACTGCGTCTGACCTAATAATATCAAATTAAATAGTTCATATATTTAATACTTATACATGTTCAAAATGAGTAAGAAAGTATAAATTAATTGTGTATTTGTTAAAATGCATTATCTTTAAGCATTATTCTTGTAATTAAGTAATACATAATTAATAAATATATGCTGTAAATATATAAATCTAGTATTTTTTTCCCTATAATATATAAGTAAATCATTTTGAATTTTTAAACATGTATGATTTTTCAATAAATTTGAAGCTAACCCAATTTCAGCCTAAGACCCATGTTAGAAAAATGAGTTGAGATGAAATCTTACATGTATTGAATTCAGGATTAAAAAAAATGTTATTTTTTTTCTTGTATTGGGTTTAGGCTTGATGAAACCCAATTAAGAACAAAGCATAAGCTTTAACGGCGAGATGATTCGAGCCGGGCTAAACCGAAATGGGCCGAATTAGATGGCATCGAGTAGAGCAGGTTGAGGTATCTAGGTGGAATATATAATGGTGGTTGAGTGAAGATGAAATGAAACAATTTAAAACATTTATTTATTAACTTTCTATTTTAAGTGTTTTTAAACAGCTAAGAAAAATAATTTTGGTGTTTTAAAGACAAGGCACATATTCATGAATGTTTCTCATTTTTGTAAGACACAAACAATTTTAACAAACACTATTTTTTGTCTTTGTTTGTCAAAATCTACAAACAAAAACATAAACATAGCAAACATAAATGTTACCAAACGACCAAGTTTCACAATTTTTCGGGCTAGAGTTTTCAAAAGCAAAATATGATTTCTGGTGCATATTATTGATCTACATCAATAATTGGCTCATTGATGTAATATTTAAGGTTTGAGAAGTTTTCATTCCTATTTGTAAGTAATGTTTTTAAATCTGGAACATAAAGGGCAGCGGATGAGCTTCAGTTCATGACTCAATCGATTCAATCTCGAGGTCAAAAATTTAAGCTCTGTTTGGATTCAAGAGTTTTTCAACTATTATTAAAATTTTTAAAAAGTAGATAAAATTTTTTTTAATGTTTAAAAAATATTTCAAAATATATTCTAAAAACTCTTCTACTCTTAAATATCCCAAAATATTTTCTAAAATATACTATAAAAACTCTGCTACAGTAAATTTTTCAAAAACACCCCCAAAAATAGATAATCCAAATGAAATTTTTTAATTTATTTAGGATCTAATAAGTTGGATATCTTTGTTAGTTTACCGAATTTCGTCACTTGAGAGGCAAATTGGGTTCCTAGGAATCTAAATGTGCCTGCTCTTTTATTAGCTAGTTATGCTAGTTCTATTTCAAATATTTGTAGTTGGAGATCTTCTCCACCATATTTTCTTTCTTCCGTAATTACTGCAGATCTATCTTCACCTTAATCAAATTTTTCAGTTTTTCTATTTTAAAAAAAAAGTAACTTGGATAGCATTGAAATATATATATATATATATATATATATATATATATATATATATATATATAAGGAAAAATATTAGTTCAAATTGGTTCAAAAATACGATTTTTACTGATTTTGAACACTTCAATTGATTCCTCACCGAGGTTGAATGGTGCAATTAAATTTTGGATTTAATAGAAAACTGGTGCCATAATGAATTATATTCAACTTTCTAACCAGTTGGTCCGATCTAATTTTCAAAACACCGATTGTAACATATTTAAGACTAATCTTTTTAAGTGTCTCATATCTTGAAATGATGTATTTTAACAATATATATAAAATGCAACATCTACGTCTCAAACTTCACTTCGAGTCATTTTTTTTTTCTGGATAGGAATGTCATGCATATATTACGTACTAATTCACTGAGTGGTAGTTATAGTAAGGTTACACTTAGGTAGACTCGATTTTCAAAGATTCAATGGTCCAAATTGTGTCATATCATCTCACCAAATGATGTGGCACAATTTGGATCATTGAATTTATAAAAATCATATCTATCCAAAATTTGGCTGTTATGGTATTACATAAAAATTGCTCCAAAAAAGGCAAGTACATACGTCACATGTTCATTTTAGAGAATCAGAACATTAGTTCTGGTGACCGCATTACTTTTTGTTAATTTTCAAAAGACAGTTTTTCTCTTTGTTTTCGTCTCAATTGGTTAGCATGTAACGTGGTGGTTACAAATCGTGTATCCGTCATGCGTGTGACTTGCAAAATGACTTGATATGAACTGTTGAAGACCTTGGCTGCAATCTTCTATGATCTTTTTATTGTTTGGATCGGTCCATAATACGTTGGCATATTCTTTAACGGCAAAATGGTGATCCAAGTTGGAATATAGTACAAGGGTAAATTACACATAACTCTCATATAGTTTCAACTATTATCCAATGATTCCTCTAACGTTTTCAAATGTCCATTTTACCCCTTTATGATTTTATTGAAAGTCAAAACTTGATAGAAAAGTAACATATATAACGTCTGCACTGTTTGGATTTACCATTTTTTGAAAAACAAGTTTTTCATATACAATGTTACAGTAATATATAAACAAAAATAATTTAAAAAATACTATATCAATACAATATATTAAAAACAACTCCAAATATACAAAAAATTTAAAAATAAAATATACACTATTTTTTTCTTCCATCTATCACCACTACCATCATCACCCCTACCCACCATCCTCCTCCTCCCTCTCTTTCCTCCTCATTTCTCTGCCTCTCTCTTCCTTCTCCCTCACTTTCCTCCTCCCCTCTTCCTTTTCCCTTCCCTGCCACACCCCACCTCCTCCCCTCTAGCCTCAACTAGATCTAGGCCTTTGGTCACAGCCAAAGGCCGCGATCTGGTCTCGACAATGCCAAATTGAGGAGGGGAAGGAAGAGGATGTGCGGGGTCTAGCAAGAAAGTGGAGGGAAAGGGAAGGGTGGGAGAAGGAGGGAAGGAGAAGGAAGAGAGACAAGGAGAAGAGAAGAGGAGGGAGAGAGGGGATGGTGGCGATGGTGGGTAGTGGTGGTGGGTGGAGTGTTAATTTTCAAAATTATCCTAAAAATTTTTAAACTTTAAAAATATGTTAAATATATCCCAAAAACACCACTAAAAACATTTATAGTAACAGTTTTTCATATGCATTGTTATAGTAAAATATTTTAAAAATATCCCAAAAAATAGCTAATCCAAACGGAACCGTTATTAGTTGGAATACCAATAGTATCCTCATTTAAATATTAAATCAAATAACGGTCTAACTACTTTGTATAGTACCATTTGAGTATTATTTGGATAAATACAAAAATTATTAGGGAGTAAAATAGATATTTAGGTAAACTATAGGGTTGTTAACTAGATATTATAATTCCATCACACGTACTTTTGAAATGCATCTAATTCATTCACCATAACTTATAGCATATTCCATCTTCTTTTTTTTTTCTTTACATTAAACTATAAACTATAGGGAGATTACATGATTATTTTGAAACCTTAGGAAAATTATCTAACATCCTGCAAAACTATAGGCAAGTTATATGTAATCTACCCCAATTGTTGCATCCTGACATGTCAGTTACATAGCAAAAAGCGTTCGTTTATGGGAAAGAAAAGGAAAAAAAAGAAGGTATTATGATAAACCTTTATGCACACATTAGAGACTATTTGTACTGTTTTTCGATTTTTCCCATTGTACTTTCTGCACCATCTAACCTTTGATTCCAAGATAAGTTCGAAGGAGACACCAAATCTCAACCTCATATGTCTTTGTCGGCCTTATGGGACCAGAATCGATATTAATGCTTTATTATTGAAGCACAAAAACTTTCATGCCACTCAAATTATTAAATTTGTCGATTGTGTCAAATATTTCCAGCAGATACACATGGTTGCCCCCATAAGGCCTCTCCTCTGCCCCCAACCCCCCGCCCCGGCCGCCCCTCCCCTTCCCCAAAAAAAAAAAAAAAAAAAACAAAAGGAAAAAATTGTAAAACAAATTTCTTATCTATGTTTTAATAAATAAAATTTCTTAGCTTGCTTTCATGAAATAAAAGATTTTTTGAGATAATTTTTTTAAAAAATATTATAGCACTTTTTTGATGTGATATAATGTATATGAAATAAAAAATGATTCAAAAATATATTAATGATATAAACAAATAAAAATTGTGTAAATAAATACTATCCAAACAAACCTTAACAGTTCAAAAAGATGTCGTGTAAATAACATATTATAGTTTTCCTCACTATATTAATATGTCTTTTCATCTTTTTGAATTCGGCCGTGCATTTTTTTGACCATTGCCACTATAAACACTAAATCAATTTCCCTATTTTCTTTCAAATCCTTTACTTCGGGTAAGCATTTTCAGGTCTAAATGAAACGTTTTACATGCAAACTTAATCAAATGCCTTGAAGAAAAAAAAAAAGACTAGAGATGATATTTGTAATTAAATTTACTTATAATTTATAAGGATTCAAAAGAAAACATGATCACATGCAATTCTGAGATACAGACAAGACATGGATAATAAAGACACCTAATATGGAGAATCTTTAAATAAATAAAAACCCATGACTGCCACTCAAAATGCGGTAGAGAATCTTAAGCAAATTGCTTCTTTACAGGTACAACAACGAGGCTGTCACCTACTAACAGACAAGCCAATTAAGTTTTACAGATAAGACTTGAAACAAAAAAACTTTATGAACAATTCTCAAATTGTCTTCATTCATTTTCTCTTTCCCTAGGAAAATTTAAAAAAGAAAAAAAAAAGACTGTGCAATACTTTTCTACATAGAAACCCTCTTGAGCCAGTCTGTTATAAGCATATATTATATAATATTGACAATAGCAGACAGACCAAAAAACAAAAAAAAAAAAAAAGTAAGAAAACTGGGATAAGAAAAATATATAATTCTTCCCAGAGAACCATTTCAGCTTCTGTTCTTGCATTTTTCAACTGCCCTTGGAGCTGCACCAGAAAGGAAGGGGAAAAAATTGAGATAACCATTTGTAACAGAAATTATTACCGGAAAAAAAAGGACAAGAAAAAGTTGGATGACCTAATTAAAGAATATAATGTATCTAAGTTCTTTCAAATAACATTTTTCGTATATGATAAATATCTAAACCTGCTCGTGTAAAATCAAATTGCGGAAAAATTTTAGCATACCTAGCCCGACGGCCTCCGACCCTTTCATTATCCTCAAACGTTTGCATGAGTCAACAAACATTCTGAAAAATGTAAAATATATAATTGTCAGTTTTTTTGCAATTCTTAGTAGTGAATTTGGTTAAGTAATTTCCTAATAAAATGGATTGCAGGAAATTGTCTTATGGAAAAAATTGAAGAAGTTATGAACGTACTCCCATGGAACATCACCCACGAGCATCCAGTCTCCATCTCTGTCCTCATACGTAGGGACGTATTCTGAACCATTTAGAAGATCTATCAATTTCCTCTCGTTCATGAAGTCCTTGAATTCTTGAGATCCATAGCTTCCTATAAATATCAAAAAGTGACACTGCATAATTATCGATGAATAAATTTTTACTGTTATATATCACAAAAATATTAAGTCTATATTCAGTAAGTAGGTTCAACTAAAACTTAAATCACGTACACAAATAAGTTTAGATTTTTACCATTGTCATTTTTAAGTAAGTACAATCTAGGCTATCGCGATTCAACTTTTTATTAGGGGTACTCCACTTACCTCACTCTTTTTTTGTTCTTCTTTAAAACTTAGATAGGAGTTACTGATGATAATTAGAGTGCTAATTTTGTCATTTACGTTATTTCTTACTCGCAAGGTCTCCATTTTGGTTGAATTAATTACTACAACATGTAGTGCAAATCAAATTTTCAAACTTAATCTAGCCCAATAGAATTATGTTTTGCACAAAGCAACAAATAAATAAATAAATATGACATGATAAAAAGCAATATTTACCTATTGTAGAAGAACTGAACATTTTGCTCAGGGCTTGAGAAAGCTCTTGGTAGCTCTTGAAATTCTTTAAATCCACCTTACGCAGGTAAGGGGCACCATCTACACTGACTTTAACAAATGCTGCTGCTGCAGAACCAGTCCCAGATTTCTCAGCTTCTGTGTTGCTATTTTTCTGTACAGATAGGATATTCTTTCTGAATGATCTAACTGGTGGCCAACCAACTACTTGAGTCCTGAGATTTGGGAAAAAAAAATTTCATGAATTCTGTTCTTCTTATTATTGCTAGAAAAAATATATGCATATGTTCTAATTTTTTTTTTAATCTTAATTCCATATACAAAGTTTTGGCTTGGACATCTCATATGATTAAAGTAAAAAAATTTTTCTTTGCTTGACCTCATGCCATTAGCAAAATTACATTAAAGTGCTCCTTTTTTTTTTTTTTTTGCATTCAGTATTCCACTTTGATACACAAAAAATCAATACAATCCCATAGAGAAATTACTTTGTTCATGGACTCATGAAACACTTTTGAATGATAAACAAAATTGATAATAATTACATAAACCTTTTTAAAAGAAGCCAAATTTTAGAAAAATCAAACAAAAATATGCCCACACACAAAAATGAAAATCAAAGAAAAAGAAAAAGATAGAAGAACATACTTGGCAGGTGGTTTTGAAGGATTGCTAGAACTTGAGGCAGCAACGCTTTTCTCTTCTTCATCAGCCTGAGAATTCTTTGATGCTAAGTTGAGCTTCAAATCAACAGTTTCTGAGAACCCTCTTTTGTTACCATTGTTTATAGTACCATTCTTCATGGACTCACCATTTTCAACATTTCCATTTCCTCCTCCTGGCAGTCCAAGTCTTAACTCAGTTTCTTCATAATTCAACCTATACTCATTGCATTCTCCACCCATTGTTCTAGACAGGGACGGAGCCAGAAATTTATTTTTGAGGGGGCTGAAGTGTATTAAAAATTTTTTTTTGTGACGAAATAAATATATTTAATAAGTAAAATTTGGAATCAATAATTATAAAAATAATAAAAACATATAATTATACATACCCAAAAATTTGTTATTGATTAACACTTGAAATCATTTTGAAAATAGTTCAGGGGTGCAAAGTACAATTAAAATCTCGTCGCGAGACAATCCATGCAGTCACCTGCTTATGTGACTAACTACCTTAATTCACAAACCAATCCAGAAAAATATAAAGGACCAAATAAAGGAAATCATTTTAGCCAACAAGAATACTAAATGCACGTTTTTATCCGATTGTCTCGCGAGGAAAGTGCGCTAAAAGTACAAATATTACGTGTGGGGAAGATACTCTAACTCCAGACAAATTCCCTTTCCTTCTTGACTTCGGATTCTGTAACGTCGGTTAAATCCTCACTATATAAACAAACATAAGCAATATTTGCAGTAAAACCTGTTTCTTGAATTTAATCGTTCCATCCTCTCTGCAGATTCCCGTTAATTTGCCCTTTGTTTCTTCCTCAATTCTTCAGATATCAAAACTGCTGCAATACTCCCCAGGGTTGTACAACTAGCCACGTTCAAGAACCACCGATTACTGATCTGACTGAGGAATCAGCAATGGATTTCGACCATAATGAGAGACCTAATTCCACGCTCTACCAGCAATTAATGGCTCTGCAACCTCTCTATCCTACCGCTAGTTTAAGGGAACTGATTTCTTTTGCAGATGATCTCTTTCCTTATGCTTCGGAGGATGACTTGATCAGCTTGGAGGAGGAAGGACTAATGGGGCAAGACGATGGTTATAGTACTGGTAATCTTATGATAAGTAGTGGGTTGCGAGAAGATATCATAATCCAGCAACTAAAGATCAGAAGAAGAAGTCGTCGTCAAGAAGAAGTTGCAGATGATGATGAAGGCTTTGAAGAAATCTGTGTGGTTTGCCAGGGTGAATACGAAGATGAGGAGATGCTGGGAGCACTGGGATATTGGACACGAGTTTTCCGGCGGCTTGGGGGGGGCTTAAGCCCCCACCAGCCCCCCCTTAAATCCGTGGCTGGTTCTAGACATTTTTCCAGAATTAATTCCACCTCCAAAACTGCAATAAAAAAAACCCACAAGAAATTCTTGATTTTTTTTAATTCTTTTTTTGTTTTTGATAGAGTTGTCTCTCTACTCTTGATACTTGTGAGGGGGTACTATTTTGACTAGTTGATAATGCTATGTTTTCTACTACAAGGGAGAGAAAATATTTTGTGAATGAGAAGAAAGCAACTTATGCCTGGCAGTTTATGGTCATGAATATATTAAAAAATGAGAATGATGAGTGGACGGTGGAGATCTTACCACGTCGTCGGGGAAAACATTCGCTGGATTGAACCCGGCTTGTCGGGAAAGTGATGTAAGGAGTGACGTAATAAGGGAGGCATGATTGATTTTTAGGCAATTGGACAGAGCATTAGGCTTTGTTTGCCTTTATTTGGTTTGTTAGGCTCCACTGCACTATTGAACAATAGTGCAAAAGATATGACTAATGAGAATAATTTTTGGTTTTTTTATTAAATTCATTCTAAAAAAATGAGGGAAAGATTTATATACTTATTTTGTTTGGCCCAAAATTGAATTGTAATTTATGTAAAGAAAATTAAATTCGTATAACTTAGAATATTTACAATGTTTTTTTTATTACAAACATCGCCAAATGGCAAAGATTGAACATTACTAGGAGATTAATCGAAAAACGAACAAACAACCATTTTAAAATTGTCTAATTAAATCATGTTTGGAAAAAGCATATCAGCAAAGTTAATTATAAAACACAAACAATTGTATTTTACACAAATATCGAATACAAGGTTAACATTTTTGCTTTTAATGATGCTATTGGTTCTATTTTCGTTTAGAATATAGATCCAATTGTGGTTTATAAAATCACAATCATAGATCGCGGATTCATACCCACGCATGACAAAGTAACTATCTAAATTAGCGTCAGAGCAAGAAATTAGTCTATTTAGGTGCCGAAGTTGTTTACTTTTTACTCTTTTTGTGTCGAATTAAATCTTTATTTGGCAGTTTTTGGTCAAGCCCATAATTTTAGGTATATGCTTTCAAGAATTTGTGGTTTCAATTAAATGAAAAAAAAAACGTTGGAACAAAGACTATCATATGTCAAAAACGATAGAATGTCAAAGTTGTTAAAAAATTACATCAAATGTCAATTGGTAAACTTTTGATATGACTGCGAAAGAAGTTAACAAAGGTATGTAATATGACTATTTCTGCTGCTCATAAAATGCTTTGGTAATGTCAACAAATAAGCTAAAGTAGTTACTGATTACGCTTTGCTTTGGATAACGATATATATTATGCAACTAAAGTACGGAAGAACCATAAAAACTTTTAAGCAAATTTTAAGTGCAATAAGATTATTTTAATATTAATTTTCTAGCCAATTAGTCAAAAAGAAAAATATAGAACAACTAAATTATATTAAATTAGCCTATTAGAAAAACTTTTAATACAACAAATGATTATTGAGTAACATATGAAATAATCAAATAAATGTGGTCCTATCAGGTAAAAAGTTCCCATGTTTTGGTTTTTACCTCTTATTTTTAGAAGCCTTATTTCATCATAAAGATCTCACCATCCTCACTGAAGTTTCTTGTCTACCATGTTAATCAGGTGAAGTGACTGTCTATATTTATCAAATTACTCCCTATGAGAACTAATTCTTCTTTAATACATCTTGAATATAATGGAATGCACTTTAAGATTATGTATAAAGAATTACAAGGAAAATGTATCAACATCTTCAAACAAACCCCAGAATTTTCTAAAGAATGGACAATGTAGTTTGTCTCAGTTAATTATACTACATTTGGGTTAAGACATGCCAATGTCCTATTTCTAAATAATTTTTTTTTTAAAAAAAGAACAATGGGTTTAATTTTCATCTTTAATGCTTTTATTTGTCTCTAAAGTTAGTTTCACGCCATATTTCAATCATATTTCATAATTCTATTCGGAATGTTATCATCATTTTTCCCTTTAAAGGTATAGAGCTCCTGATGATCTTATATTATCTACAATCATCTAAACATAAAGTTTAGTACTATAGCTCAAATTATCAGGATTTTTTCAAAATGAAAATGCAAATTATCTTATTTGTTTGAAGACATTATTTGTCCGCTGTTTGAATTAAACTGATGGGACATGACTGAATTATTACTCTTCTTTTTTCCTTAACGTGCATGTGGTTCTTCTCATTTGTTTCCCCCTTTTTATGTTTCGTTTTCTTGTGTTCATTTTATTACTAAAAAGGGAACTTGTGAGGATCAAATTTTTGCTTCAATGAGGTGAATGCATTTTTTGCCAACTTTTTGCTAAGAAACATAATAGAACATCGCAATGAATTATTACAGTTTAGTCCTTGGAAGTTTTGACACTTTCTCTTATTTTTTTGGCTCCCACATATTTTCTTCTTTTATTAGTTGTCATTTGTTGGCCAATTTGATAATTGATGGACCAGAAATGTCGTGTGTATATCCAAACTGACAGGCTTATTTTGGCATTTTATCTTGTAGAAGAGACTAAGGTCCAAATTTTATTTCGATTAAAATAAAGCAAAAAAAAAAGTCTAGAGTGGCCTCTAGGCTTCTAAACATATTTAAAGAAAGAAATTTCCGTGCTATTCAAAATTATAAAATTGGCCAAAGCGAGGGTTCTTCAAAATTGAAAGGTACGACGACTAAAATGTAATTTCCTTTTATCATCTTCCTTTGTTAAAGAGAAAAAAAATTCGTCTGATTCTTAAAACCTCAACTTTTTGTTACATTTTCTCCTACTTTGTTAGAATTTTTTTTTTTCAGTAATAGCTCTTTTAATATGTGTGGTAAAATGAGCTCCAACTTTCTCCACAAATTAGAATCTATTTTACTTTAGTGCTTCAACTTCAATTAATGAGCATAAAATACAAGTCCTTTCAATTTTTCCGTAATTCAACTAACTAACATTAGCAGAGAATGCAAATGTTTTCCGGCAAAGAATTTCATGTGATTTCGAATAAAATCAAGAGATACAATAGTTTGATTTCAATATATATTTCTTTTGTCATCCTTTTTTTTTTTGGGATACACGACTCATATACTCAGTCAGAAAATTACTTCTTGATGTCTTATTGTAATTTGGCTGAAAATTATCTCCACTAAAATAGGGTTCAAACTTCAATCCAGTTATTTCTTAACGGAAGATCAAATTCGAATGCAACCTGAAATCCATTATTGCCGAGTCTGCCGACCTAACACATGAAAACACAGAAAGCAAAAGAATGAAAAGGACCATACGAGGCTGTACTGTCATATCCCAAACAAGAGGGGTCCTTTCAAACCAACCAAGTTCAAACCAACCAAGTCAAAATCCCCTCGTGTGTAAGGGGCCAGTACAGCTCACACGTTAAGGCCCTTTTTTTTTGTTACTCACTGATTTTAGCACTAGATTCGGAGTATCTACAATTATCAGTCACGAATTTAGAGTAAATTATTAGCAATATAGTACATCAACAACAAATGTGTATACTTAAACAAGAAATATAAAGCAATAACATAAATTTCAGAGTCATTGTCCAGATACACATGCCATCGTGTGCATTAATTCTTTGATGTATAAATCTATGCTGTTGGATTGGGACCTTATCCACATATAGATAATAACAGGCATAAATGATTTACCCCAGACAATCCTAGTTTTTTTTTTATAATTTTTTTCCCATTAACTCTTTGATGTGTAAATAGATGCTGTTGGATAGGACCTTATCCACGTATGGATAACACATAAATGATTTACCAAAATAATCCTAGTACTTTTTCTTTGAAATAAAAATTTTTCTGGTAGAAAAGGGGTGGGATTTAAAAAGTGGAGAAAGGGAAGGGGATTTAAACTTAGAAATTCTAATTCATAAAATGTTGACCTTAACTACTGAATCAGGATCTCTTCTACATTGTTTGGGAGGCAAAAGTTATTTCAATGATATTGGCACATAAGACAATTTAGGAAAAAAAATACAATTTAGCTATTATAGCAACTGAGCTAGAAAATCATAATTAAACACAACTAAAGCTAGTTTATGTATTATTAAAGCTTTTTAGCACAGTTTTTGTTGCTTCTTAGTTTAACTTTTATCAATAATTTAGGTTTTTGCTTTTTGTAGTGAATGGTCAAGATTGGATTTTGGATAGATTTGGTTCAAATGGCATTTTGGCCATTGTAATAGTGATTTATTTATTTATTAAATGGCTTCTCTTACTCCCTCTCCATTATTTTCTATTTTTCTTTGCTTTCCTTCACCAATGGCAATTACACAATGGGATGTAATATCCATGTTATATACTCTAATATGTTGACACTATCCTCATTAACCTTTGACAATTATACCCCCAATTAAGTTCAATTCTTGGAAAGGACACATGTCAATGCATCAAAGTGCGTAACATAAGTGTACATATTAGTGTGTAATAGAAGGCCCATAACCCTCACTAGAAGGTCCACCTATCATCAATTAGAGCTCAAGGAAGTATGATGATTGGTAGCATCTAGCAAATGGTGAAACAAAAATAAGTGAAAAAGTGCCAACATCTTAAGAAAATCTAGACAAAAAAATATTGAAAATTTATGAAGAATTGATAA